TGTGTGCAAGCAAATTTGTTGCTTAAAAAAGCCAGAGCAAGGAAGAGTGAGAGGATGTTAAGTATTAAATAAACAATATTTGAATAAGGGCGAATGTTCTCTTCATGATAATATTCTCTATATGGTGCGTGAATGACGTTATCACTCACAAAATGTGGGGAACATGGTAAAATGTTGTGATCATAACTTGCGTCGTGTTTGATTTTCGCATCTTTTGCCACCAATGTGATTGGTGAAAAAAAAAACGGGAGACTGAGCGAATGAAACGAAAACCGACGAATCGATGAAAAGCAAAACATCTGCCTTGTCAAACTTGCCGCTCTTAACAAAGCATTTTTTAATTAGTTGTCGAACAAGAAAAAAAAACGAACACATTTTACCAAAGTAAAGTTGTCGAACCCAAAATATGCTGGTTCCATGTATGCGTCGTGTGAACCCTTCTTTGGACCGGGTACTTTAGCCGCTTTACAAATATTGATGCTGTTTTAATCATTGGAAAATGTTTTTGGGCTGAAAATGCAAATAGATGGTTTTTTGTGTCAAACAAAACGATGGCAAAGAGTGAGAGCGAGTAGAAAAGAAACACTCTTGCACTTACAGTTCTCATTTGTGGTTTCATTTTTGTGGTTAGTCAAAGTCGCCGAAAGTTTTTTTTGGTCAGAATTTGTTAACAAAAGAAAAATAGAGAGAAACAGAATGTTTCGGTGTTGCGTCAATCGAACATCGAATTCCTTTTTTCAATGTCCGTACAAAATATCCATAAATTGGTCATCACAATGGATGTGACGGTCCATCCATATAGCTGCAATTGTGCACGTTATCAGTGTTTATATGTAATCTATCTAAGACGATTCCAAACGTTCCATGTTGTCAAATTAAAAAGAGCAATGGGTTGACGGGTGAGTTTCTGGTCCGCGTGCGTAATACGTGTGTACTCCGTCGGAACAGACGTGATACAACAGTTTTATTTCAAAATCCTTTTAAGCCAAAAACTTATGGTTGCTGCTGCTATTGCCGCTGCTGGCTGGCTGCTGATGATGACGACGATTCTGTGCTCTGTGTTGTGGTCGCATTCTTTTCATCTTGCTCGAGCGCCGGGACGTGAGACGATCCATAAAGCACGTTACTATACCCAAACAAACTGTATAAAAGTCGAGTGTATTATAAATAATCATCCACAGTTTGTCCTACTGCTACAATGAGTGGCAATTCAGCACTGTGCGCCCTCAATGATATCATCATTCGCCTTTCTCTTTCCCAACGAAACTTTTGTTTTCTAATTTACTGTTTTGGGTGAGAGATATGAATGTGTGTATGTGTGTGTGTGTGTGTGACGAAAGAAGGAACAAACAGACGAGGAAAAAAGATTGCCGACCGATTTTTGGCTGTTATTAGCATTGCCATTTGCTGCGCGAATGAAAGTTCGCCCTTTGTTGATGCTGTTCGGCGACACCGAACATGAAAAAGACTCCATTTTAATCAACTCGCCGAAAATGGCACTTTTTAATGCATTAGAAAAATGATGGCGAAAAGGGAGTTTACAGTGTTTTGGTGTTAATTGAACTGCGCCAAAAAATTACTTTTCAATTCACAAAAAAAATTGCCAACTAATTTCGGCTCATGCCAAAAAGCACGATGGCTATTTCGGCGATCCGTTCAACGAATGCTTTCATTTATTCGAAATTTTTGGGAGCACCGCGTACACTTTCGATTATGTAGCATTTTTGTATTGCCCAACAGATTTCACTTCGGCAAATTTAATGAAACAAACACAAGTATGTTTCATAAATATAGAAAAAAAGGAGAGTAGCAAAAAAAATGGACTGGATTATAAATGTCTGCAATGAGAGCGAATAGGAGAGCGAAAACATTCTGATGAATGAGCATGTTTCCGTTCGGAACACCACCACATCACATCCAGAAAATGAAGACATTTAGCGAATGTTGTAAGCAGCAATTGGTTCAACCGAAAGTTAGTTTTTGTACACGCTGATGTGTGTCCATATGCTTTCAAATCCGAATCCGAGTCAGAATGAGCGCACGAAAAAGAACAACAACAAAAAGAAAACTCAGGAAAAACTTTAACAAAACGGATAATATATTTTGTGATGAAAATAGCCGCAATGCACATCAGTTATCATAATATGATGAGGGCTCTTCAATTTTTGCTCCATTTCAGCATTTCATCGGAGAATATTTATGGTTCCAAATCCGTTTTATGAGCGCACGCTAGCGACGGAATGAGCGAGTGGCAACTCCGATTCAGCGACATACAAACACAAAACCAGCAACAAAAACGAAAACCGCACGTGATGTCATTGAAACGTACAAATCACAGTCGAATTATCAATCTGCGCTTGCCATTTACTTGATCCACTCAAATCTATTCGCATATCTATGTATGTGTGTGCTGCGCTGAATGACAGTAATGAGTTGAATTGTCCGTATAAGAAGAATGATACGAAAGCACACATACGGCAAAGTACGACCTCTATACCTCTATCATATCAAATGTTAAATGCTGCGAAACATTTGCTGCTGCTTAAATCTTTGGCCAGCCACAAAGTGTTACACACTCTTTCGTTTCTGTTTTTCTCTCACTCACTCGTCCGCTCACTACGATTTGTTTAAAGTTTCTTGAGTTCGTGTATGTATGTCAGATCACATTGCATCTTGCACATGAATGGTGCTAAACTCTTGGGCAAAGACCGAGCTGTGTGGATTTAATTTGTTCCTTGCAAGAAAATGCCGAACGAAACTTCTTGAAAATATAATATAAATTAAGAGTAAAACGGCATTTCAAATTACAGAGCCTCAGGAAAAAGGGGAGAATAGACCTGATGATACTACTATCCACTATGGAAATTCGCCATTTGAAAAGTTTGAATGCTGATAAGAGTGAACGAATAACTTCCTGCAAGGATTTCGAATGACACAATCGATGTGGAGATTCGTCGATGTGAAGGTGGTTCTGAATTTCAATCACGGTTTTTTATCGCCTCAGCTGAAATGGTCGACAATGTATTTACATTTGAATTTTCTGCTGCGTGTGGATTTTTTCTTCTCGAATGGGGTTTTCAAAATGAGGTGCGTGCTCAGCAGTCCAAAATTTAGTCATTAACAATCGATTTGTTTGCAATCATGCCACAATTCAATATACACAGAGATCGACACTGATTAGCTGTGGCAATGGAATTGATCGCAAATCGATTTTTTCCTCTATTCGCCCACTGCTCTCGATGTCAAGTTAATTTATTTTAAACAACTTGCATCGGCCATAAATTCAATGTTAGTGAAGTGGGACGAACACCTAGTGCTTAGTCAGTGAAACGCTGATATCGTTTTTAGTGAATGTGAAAATCAAAACGGAGTTGAATGGAACGAAAAAAGTGTGTGAACATGGTTGAAATCATTGAAATGCCATTCTTGAGTTAAAAGACTTCTTCTTTCTTTTTTTTTTTCGTCAAGTTACAAAAGATTTTTCCCGACAACATCCGATGCGATCTCTCCCTTTCACCCATTTGCACTCCTTCTATGTCTTCCATTCGCACATTCTCTCTTTCCATTGCTCTGCATCTAATTCTCTGTGTATCGGATACGCAATATGCCTTAAAAGCTCATGCAATTACATATGCTACATAAGCAAGGCGCTGTTTCTTTTCATCAAGATATTGTGTAACGCTAGGTGTAACGTGTGATAGTGAATTGTTTTTGCACTAACGCAAAAATATGAATTATGAGTATTTGTACATTGTTGTTGCGTGTGTTCCTTTTGCACTGTGTGCCGCGCTTCCATCCAACTCGACTGAAAAGATTTCTCATTTGAGCATTCCGCATTCGTGCTCCGTCTTATAAACAGTTTTGATCTCTGTGCCGATTGCACTTATCCGCTCGTTTACAACACACTTCCAAAAAGGAATTTCCATCGTTTTTCATAATTGTATGCTGGCAAAATGGCATTTTAAGGCATTGTTTGCTGTTTCACTCACTCGCACACTCAATGAGACAGCACGCGACACGGCTCTCTTCATTTAATTTCGCGAAAAACATCACACAAAGAAAGAATACACTGACGGTTGAATGTGAGATGGTGTAAAGACGGGGATATTAGGCATATTTTTCGTGTAAGAAAAGGGTTCATTGAATACGATAAGAGGTAAACGTTGATTTATTGCACTAAACATTTCAACGAATTACAGCATGACATACAACTTTTTTCCTTTTTTCTCTCACCAGACTCTCTATCTTTTTCTCGCTGTTTTTTCCACATGCTCCTTGAAATCCATTTATTTGGTAAATTGAAGCGCACTGTCATATTCTCATTGAACACTGCGGCTACAAGATAAATGTCCTAATTTATAACCAGACGACTCGACTCAATGAAATGCGATAATATTTATTGAATTTTATTTTACACGAGTTTTATTTTTGGCTAACACGCCGGGAGAGAGAGAACGAAAAAAAAGCACGTAATGTGTGCCATTTGAACACGAAAAATAAAAACATACCGTTCGTCGCCCATCTAACTTTTCTGTTTCGCATTGTTGCGAGTGGGTGAGAAAAATCAAGAAACTGACTGTAACAAATCATGTTAACAAATTGAGAACTCCCACTTTAGCGTGTTTCAACGAGCTGTTTCTTTTTTCTTCTTCTTATTTTTCTTTTTTTGCTCGCTTTCACGCGCACATTTGCTCGTACGTTTGAATGCGATGCAGTTAAGAATAGTCATCATCGTGTGTGTATGTGTGTATTACACCACCATCGTTTAGCATTTTAACCCCAATCCCAGTAATAGAGAGATAAATGAAAGGCCTTTGTTTGCGATAGAAGCGTGAATAAAAACGATGCTCCATAAAACTAAAACCAAGGTTAAGAGTTGCTACATCGACGAATACATCGTTTCAAAGTCAATTTTTGTTCCACCCTCTGCATAATCGCACTAACAAAAAAATTCGTTTTTATTCAATCTCTTGCTCGTTTTCTCTATTCCTTTCGCATAGAATGATTGCCGTGGCTTGGATTGCATGCATTTTTACGGTGGCATCAGCTGGTAATTTTCGAAAGCAAAAACGGACATCACCTGCAGCTATGAAAAATTCAACGCTTGCCAGAGAGATTTATTTAACGCAACAGCACATGTTGCAGCACACAAGGTAATTGCTTCGTAAACGTACACACACACACACACACACACACACACCTGAAACCACAACGAGATAATAGCAACTGGGCTTGGGTTTTAATCAATTTAGACACCATAATCTGGTTGCGGATAAAACTAAAGTGATGAAACATGATGAATACGATTCCAATCAACTTGAGAATACAAATCCACCGCTACCGATGAAATACTTCCCATTGAAAAGTATACCACTGTATCATGCACACTATCATCAGCATACGCATAATGCCAGCAATGGATTGATGTACGATACAGTGCGGAATAGATCGTCCATCAGGAAAAGAGCATCGGCGGGTGAAAAACTATCAACCAACATAACCATGGTTCTCGAAAGTTTGTTAAAGTGAGTTTTTCCACAAAGTGGCTTTGTATTCAATTGCATTTTTTTTTCTTTGTTAAATTCTTGTGATTTATGCAAATACTTTCAAACTGTAGGTCATACAAAAGCAACTACTTACCAACTCATGGACAAGGTTTGTTTTGATTTTACCATCTATCTAAATAGACATGGAGAATTGTTATTGTTTTGATTAAAACTAATTTTGCTTTATTTATTTTTCGTTGTAATGATGAAGTCCTGAATTCAGTTCCCTTTGAAAATATTTGTTCAGTGGATTTTAATCCAAAATCAGTTCTGTATTCAAAAAACAATAATGGAACAAGTTTGCATTTGGTAAAAATTCAAGTTTTTTTCCAGGTGTTCCTACGGTGGTGAAAACGAATATATTGATTCGGAGCATGGGACCCATTTCTGAGCTAGATATGGTATACAACATTACATCTATCAAACCTAATGCGCCAAACATGATACAAGTATAAATCTTCTTTTGAAACTAATTAAATTCTTAAGGAATATTCGATGGATTGCTATTTTCGACAATACTGGAGAGACAGCCGGCTCAAATTTGAGGGTCCAATGAAAACGCTATCGTTGAGCATAAAGGTAAAGATAATTTATTATTCAAGTGATATTAATTAATATTCATTAAAAACCTCCAAATGTGTGAAATAATTAACCGTTTAATTTACAGATGCTTGATAAAATTTGGAAGCCAGATTCAACCTTCTTCAATGGAAAACACTCATATGTTCATACGATTACAGTGCCAAATAAGTTACTTCGACTAACTCAAGAAGGGGACATTTTGTATTCGATGAGGCGAGTCACATCTGACAATGAGAATAAGATTGAGAGAATTTATGGAGATATTTAATTACCAATCACAAAATTAGATTGAACATGTTTGAAAATAAATATTCATATTTGCAGGTTAACAATCAAAGCATCGTGTCCAATGGAGTTGAGGAATTTCCCAATGGATCGACAGTCGTGTCCACTGATTTTAGGAAGTTGTACGTCAAATCTTACATATCTGTTAAAAAATGTTGAATATTATGTTTTGCTTAGATTTTTTGCATTTTGACGAATACTTCTATTTGTCCCATTTCTTTCTCCGGAATGACTCAGATGCCTACACGAAAAATTCGTTGGTCTACGAATGGCAAAGTAATGAAGCGGTCAATTTTGTGCAGGGCATGACGTTAAGTCAATTTGATTTGATGAGCATGCCACAAAGCAACTACACATACACTCGTCGCGAAGGTGAATTTTCAGTGGTTCAAGTCTCTTTCAATTTGCAACGTCACACGGGATACTTTTTGATTCAAGTAATTTATTGTTCTCCGTGGAAATGATACTGAAAGGAAATTCGAATCCAATGTGAATGACATTAAAAGCAGTAATTTTTCTAGGTTTATGTTCCTTGTATTTTAATTGTGGTTTTGTCATGGGTATCATTTTGGATTCATCGAGAAGCAACCAGCGATCGTGTAGGCTTGGGAATCACCACTGTTCTTACACTTTCGACAATTAGGTCAGTTTTCGGAGTCTATTTTTGCCCCTTTAATAGAGCTTCACCTTCTTTTGAGAAAATGGAAAAAGTCTAAAGTCTGTGGTTAATTCAATGGTTATTTTTATTTCAGTCTGGATTCGCGTACCGATTTGCCAAAAGTGCGATATGCCACGGCACTCGATTGGTTCTTACTTATGAGCTTCTTTTATTGCATTGCAACGCTATTGGAGTTTGCCGGTGTTCATTTCTTTACGAAAGTTGGAAGTGGCGAGATTCCGGCGTTGACCGATGATGAATGGGAGGATATAGCGGAGACAGTTGAACAAGCTGGATCAATTCACGTTCAATCAAGGGATATATCACCAAGTCAAAATCAACTGCTAGGAACGCAATCCACTTCGGCACGTAAACGCAATTCGATCATTTGCCCCATTTATAATGTAAGACATTTTACTAGAACGGAAGAGTAGATTCTTCACTTTTTCTCTAAACCTAACCTTTTTCTTCTCTTTCTTTTTCATTTTTCTTCTTTGGCTGAACATTTCAAACTGCAATCATAACTGAATTATGATTATAATTCAAAAGCAGGATCCAACAATAATGTTTCCACCGACGTCGTCGCATTCAACCATGGAACGGACAACGCAAACCGAACCGCCAAGAACCAAAAAATGGAAGCAAATTTGGCTATGTTTCTTGGGCGATGACAAATTCCGCAGACAAAGACAACGTGAAGCTACGGAAAAAAGTTAGTTTGCGCCATTGATTCATTCTAGGATTCATTCATCTTTGGTGTTTTTGAATCATAAGAGTAAATTTTTTTTTGAATATTTTCAGGCGGAAACAAAAAGCGATACATCAATTCGGTTTCATTAATTGATCGCAGTGCTCGCATCGGCTTTCCACTTTCATTTGGAATTCTAATTCTACTCTATTGGCTGATTTATGTCACTTATCAAGATGACTTTCCATTGATCAAGCAACAAGGACGTGCACAGTAAACGTTTTTTCAATCGCCAATCACCATAAAATTCTATCGTGCATGTGGTTTCACTGAAAATTGAAACTGTTTCAGCTAGTAACTAGCTGCTAGTTCTGAAAAGTTATACTTCGTCAAAGCCGAAATTATTTATTTATTCAGACATATATTCATAACATAGCACTATCCTACCACCTAATCAAATTTTATTCAACTCAAGCTAATGCTTTAGAATTATACATTATAATACGATGTCAAATTATATTTAATCGCACTAAATAGCCAGCAAATGTCTTTGAATGTTCGTTGAAATCAGAATAAAATAATGTAAAAACGATATTTGCTTACTCCTCTTTCAATTCATTTATAATTTTTACACCTATTTGCAAGTTTATCGGTTGTAAACAAACGCCGCGGTGTAGAATTTTATCGAATCAGTCAAAGGGAATGTTTCTCTGTTGCGTGGCCTTTCAGTGACAACAGCTGTGCGACAGCAATAAGAATCAAATTATGCTGAACGCATTCATTTATCGTACCATCGCAAACCGAGTGTGCTGAACATTGAGCTATTGCTATTTTCGGATCGTACAACCAATCTGCTTGCCACAATCCGAATTCGTTGATTACACTGGAAAATTGGCCATGATTACGGGCTGGATAAACAGTGGGAATGTCAATAAATACCAATTACATCAAATCAGTGTTCCAATTTGGTCAAACAAACAGTGCGAACAAGTACCTGAATATAATGGCCGATTCACACACAATATGATCGGTGCCGGAGAATACAAAAATGGAACTCGTACAGAGTGCAGTGTAAGACTTACAATTACAAATAATTATAATAAGATAAAAGAGCTTAAACCAACATAATTTCTACTATTTATTTGCATTACAGCTTGACATTGGACAAATGTTTATTGACGGTGAGCATGGTGGCATGGAGATGATTGGAATATACACATTGTAAGTTCTACCTTTCTATCGGTTCTGACATCGGTTTGAGAACAAAGAATTCAGTTTCCGTTTCGTTTTCTTTTCAGCGGTACGAAATGTGGTATTCTTGGAATGCCAGCCATTTATACTCGTGTAGATAAATTCATGCCATGGATTAAGCATATATTATCCAATGAATGTATGTGCGTACCTAAGACTGCCGATCAGGATGTCTCTTTGCAAAAATACGATTCCTGTGATTGCGGTTAATATTAAATGATCCATTTTCTCTGTGTTGTCCAATAAAATATAAAAACAATTTGGCAATGCCACGGTGGTATTAAATGATTTGTGCAACATATCAAAATATATTGTTATCATTTCGATCGATTCAAGTATTATGCATAAAATGATTTCGCTCACAAATTTTTCATATAATTTTGAAAATCGCTAACGTGTTGATTTACTCGGAACTGACACGTTAGCGATTTATGGAATTATCACAAAGTCAGTGGAATGAAACGAGTCTTGAAGTGGACTTGCAATGACAAATAAAACCTCAGTATAAAAGCCACTAATATCTGTTTATGTTTTTTCTCATTCATTTTACTAGTTTGCGGATCACGACGAATGGTAAGCTCCTACATCAAAATGCTGTTTTCGTCAATTTCTCAATTAAATATTATTAGATTAATTTTCTTGCGACTAATTATTATTTATTTATTTATAGCTGGTGCATATGTTGGACTGATTGGAGGAACATTTGAAGATTTCCAATGTTCTGGTTCTTTGACTTCAAACAAACACATTTTAATTCCAGCTAAATGTGCATTTATCTTATATAATCTTCAAAAAACGTATGGAATGTTTGTTAGTTTGACTAACGACATTGATCCAAACATACGTGGAACAGTTTCAATATCGCAATTTTGAAATTGGACGAAGATATAAATATTCAACCAATCGCTTTGCCAACATCACAAACCATCGATTACACTGGGAAATTGGCTAAAATTATCAGCTGGAATGATGGCAATGAGAAGAAAGAGGATTGGTGCACAATGAAAAAATCCACATTTGATCAAGATATTATTGTTGCGATGTGGTCGCACCAACAGTGCAACGAAGCGTCATCTGGAACATTTTTGCAACTAACCGAACATATGATTTGCGCCGGATCTGTAGATGGAAGTCGCTTAATTTGTGAACAAAATGTAAGATCGATTTTATCGAGAAAATTTAGAACATAAAAAATTTTCAACTATTTTTTCGGTTTCTAGCTTGACTATGGACAAATAATCACTGAAAATGAGAGCGAAAAAGGCATGGAAATAGTGGGATTATATACTGACAAATGTAATGCAATTTGTTTCCAAATAGTGCATAACGTTAACATTTTTGTGTTCCGATTATGAGGAAATGTTTTAAACTTGACGCATCAAATAGTGAATTGTTTAAAAAATAATAATTTTTAAATGCGAATAAAAGTTTCAAACTTAAAATCCAAATTCTTTCCTGCATCAAACAATTTTTTTTCAGAACCATTGATAGAATAAGACGATCACAATATTTGATGTAAACACGAGATAGAACTGTCATTGAATCTGTGAAAGAGAAAATGTTTCTGTGAATGCGCCTTATCAGTGACATCTATTATGCGGCATCAATTACAATCAAGCGATGCTGAATGCATTCTTTCATCGCACGTGCAAATCGAATGTGCTGAAAATCGGTTTCATTTTGACATTTAAACGAGCCCTTTTACTCTTCAGTGTTTGATGTTACTTTGTTGGACATTTTTAGCATGTCGGATCTACACAAATTCATTTAAAGTATTGAAAGATTTATTTTATTTTCAAAAAGAAAAGATCAAAGTAACTTGACCTTAAGTCTTCTAGGGGTTGATATTAACCAGTTTCAATAAGAAAATTAGAACAACTGTCTGTGTTAATCGAAGCGGTTGATATGCAGTATCGTAGTTTTTTAGCGAGAAATTCGGAGCATTTAATTGCCGGCGTTCACTTGTGGTGTTGGATCTACTATGATTTTGCGTCTCTTTTTGCACACAAGGACTCCGAAATCGGACCAAGTGTCTTACTGAATTCGACATCACATGGAATGGTTTGTTTGTTGTCATGCACTAAACGGTTCACTTAGAATTCATCAGTTAAATCGTTTTTAGATCTGTCTGATGCTGTTGTGTGTGCTACGTTCTTTCAAAGATGTCCAGGAGACTCAAGAATACAAACTCAATCGCTACGATTCCTTTTCTACGTTTGCTTTTCCGTTCGCCATACATTTTGCTTTATCAATGCTCACCATTCATCGCATCGATCACGAGCTGATTCTACCGAAATCGTATGGATATATTTCACCCAAGTAAGAGAGTCAATCAAATTGGTTATTAAACTCTGAACAATTACTAATGCATTTTTTTTCTTTACAGTTGGTTCAAATACGTGATTCGAACATATATCACGACCTTCTTTTCGATTGAACTCCTCTTGTTATTTAGATACTCAATCATGGAATATGTATCCAGCAAAATTGAAATAATTATCTCCACTATTTGCTATTTTATTTTGATTTTTATCATCCGGATTTTATTTCATGTTCAAATTACTTACGACTGAAACCAGCTGGGCATTGTTGATCAAATTGTTAAAATTATCATTCTAATGAGGTAATAAAAACTCAATTGAATGCTGCTATAATTTGCTATAAAGTCTTTATGTTGACTTAACCGTTTATTGTGCAATCACTTCCAGTTTGGAAGGAGAAATAATGAAAAGGGCTCAGTTCAATCTCTCTTTGTATTGTTTCCTCCATTCCAATTAACCTAATAAATTAATCAATGCATTGATCCATGGATACTAGCTAAAATACGTACAAGATCGATTCAATTCTGTATCAAGTGCATGTTCCACAGGTTGAATTAAAGCGAGCTAGTTGTTATCAGCCCTAATAGCCCGAACTCGGAATAGCCGGTCATTTTTTATTTGCTTTCTCTTCTTTGAATACGTCAATGAAAGGCTTTGGATTGTAGAAGCTGCCAGGTATCCTCAATATATTGTAGTAAATTTTCTAAGAATAAAACGTTTACTCTCTATGATTTAGGTCAACGTAACTGCCACAATGTTTAATCGCACTGCTTGTTCCTTCGACAAATAGTACGAAAAAGTTGGATGATCTTATTCCATTTGCAATCGTTTTCTTTTGAACGATTCTGGAATCACTTTGTAGCATTCGGACTGATTCGGACCATTTTTGCCATCTGACCAGTTATACATTCACGACACTAATTCTTTTTAAGAACCTATTAATTATTTTAGTAGATTCAAAAATTTATTACATGAACCAGACAAGCTGTCAATATTCAAGTGATGTCCTGATGAAAAAGGGTTGGTGGTTTTTGAAACCAGGTTTCTCTACATCGTAATCAACTTGCTATATCACTCGTAACTTTTTATTATAATTGAAATGGGTACTAACCACAATAGCAAATGTTTTGCATGACCAATTGCCATTCGGCGAATGTATCGACAAGTTGTCAATTTGCGGCTACCTTGCTGTCCAACGTTTGTAGTTGTTGATTGCTTTAAACCTAACAATGGTTTCGGATTACTCAGGCACAAACTGTTCTCTTAAGTTTAATTCAACTTTCAATTCTTACATTCAGTTTTTCATCAATCGGTTAACCATTGTGTGAACGTGTTGACAAAATAAATGCTATCAGTTGACATTGAAAATATATACTACGTATTTGACTGCCGAAATCTGTGTTGGGTGTGTTCAACCACAGTATTTATATATAAAATGTTTATTTTTTATTTTTTATTCTTTTTTATCTTCAGTCAAAACTGGAAAAAAACTGAATGCTTCATTTGATTGTATAAATTTGGATCTTAACTCTGTTATGGTTTTGTTTCTTTTATTCATCAAATTTATCGTCGTCAAAAAAAAGAGAAATAATCTCAATTCCGCAAAGTTGAAAGAACGATATGGTTCCGTACAATGACTTATATTTCCTTGCCTCCTGTTTCCTCTGTCCAATCGCACGGGGTTGCGATCCAATGTATCTCATCGATGACTTGGCATCCAATTTTCTCGAAAATTGATCGCGAAGCTGCATTTGCTCTTTTTACAGTTGCAGTTACTCCCGTGCCTTGTTCGCCAATTTGTTTGAAAATAGTTTTTACCACGGACGACCCGAGACCACGCATTCGATATGCGGGTTGTGTGTACAACGTTCCGATTGGTCCAGTTTGAAATCTAAATGAATGAATTAGATCAGACTTTCTAATCGATGATTAATAATAATTTGACGAAAAAAATTTAGGTATTTCTTCGGGATAAAAAAATTCAGTGACAAAAAAATTTGGATCAAGCAATTTTTTTTAAATTAAAAACAAAAATTCAGCAATAATTCAACGAAAAAATTTGAGAGAAAATTTAAAAAAAGTGAATTATTATTTAAAAAAATCCCACTGAAAGCCAGAAGAAACTAAATCATGTCCATCTTGAGTAAAAATGCCGCAACTTGAATTTAATCGAGCCAATCGCTGCAGGTAAAAAAGCGAACCAGAATGATTGAATGGCCATTGTGCATTTGCGATCTCCACGTCTGTGTCGGTGAGCGAACGACTATAGAAACCTTCAGGTAGCCTAAAATATCAGTAAATTAGATTCACTCAAAATATTGATCACACAATCGATTCTTCGGTTTCTTTTCACTCACTGTGTGTTGAGCGCCATTGCTTTTTCTTTTGGCAAATAATACAATAGATTTGGGTCGTCATACTCAAGTTGCAGCTGTTTCCGTCGTATGGTTTCCAACATGATGGGATAATGTTTTGAACGAACATGCATGATCCTGAATCCACTCGAAAAATCCAGTAATTCCAATAGTTTCGTTAGCTTTTCTTTGGAACCACTCAAACAGTCGAAATAGACGTGATATCTGTCCTGTTTTTGGAGAAATATGAATTTGTTGTTGTCTTGTAATAAGGCTATTTTTAATGTGATCTTTGGAATGGCAATTCGCAAATAATTTTCATGTTTGAATTAGGTAATAATTGAATTAGATGTTTTTATATTTCGACATAACGTATCAAAAAATTTGCGTACGGTTACATTAAAATGAATAGCTGTAAATCAATTAAAACCTACCACAACAGCAAACGTTCCATCCGACCAATCTCCGTTCAACGAATATATCGCCAAGTTATCAATTAATCCATCTTTTTGCATCCATCGAATGTAATTGCTAATGGTGGTTAAACCGAGGATCGTTTCTGGTGTCTCGGCATAAAGTGACTTCAAACTCGACCATTTTTCACTTTCAATCTTCACTAATCGGTTTTCCATAGCTTATTCACGCGACTGGATCTTGTGATGTTTCTTCAGAAGTACAAATGCAACTGTAAACAATATTCAGAACACAGACAATTATCTACCATTTCATTCAGAAATTTCCATAACCCGTTTTCTTATCTTCATGCTTGGATCATTGTTTTCTTGTGCCAATTCTGTATCGCACTGACTGCATCAATATCTGCATACTTGTCTGCTTGATATGAGAACAAAAATAAAAATGCAATCATTGACCGGTATAGAAACGCTACTCATAGAAAAAATGACAATATTATGAGCGATAAGATTGAAGAGATAAGGTAAATTGAATATTACAACAGGTAATGTTTGTAGCGTATGTGGCATACAGTATACCAAAAATCGATTGGAATTATAAAAATTGAAGGCAAAGTACAGCAGCCAAATAAAAATGAAATGTCATCGCTAATTCAGTTAGTGTCATTCCTTCGATTGGTATTGTACTTTGAACGACAATAAGCGAACCATTTTCTTGAAGGAAAAAATCAGTAGAGAATTTGAAGATTTGGATAAACAAATGAGTTTAAAATGGCTTTGTGTGTTGATATACCGCGCATTCTGATGAAATTATTCCATTTCGTTGCCTGGAGCCAATATTTTTTTGCGATATTTTATGATCTCAATTATGTCGTAGTGCCACGCAGTGATACACATCTGATGACACGGCCTGGTTTCGGTGGGCGACTCCGATTTTTGACATATTGGTGTCTGGTGAGTAATACAGAGGAATAAAGTGAGCAGATAATAAGAATAGCCAAAGAACGATTATAAAAAAAAGAATCAACCAAAAGTCGGTTTGAAATTGTAACAAAAAAAACCGTTTTTACACTGCATTTCAGCTGGCATTGTTCTAGTGATAATCCAATTATTTGTTCGCAGAACAAACGATAAGGTCGACCACTCAAAGACGTTGTGTGTTAGTCTGAAAGAAGAAGAAGAAAAAGAAGAAGAAAACGGGTCAAATGATGAACCGATAATTTCTAATTAGTCAAAATGATTTGTTCAAAATATGTTACCTTGGGCTCACGTGTGTGTGCTACATTGAGCTTTGGTGTTGTCTCACGCCACACGAACCAAAACATGTGTTAAATCACTTGATATACATCAATGTGTACTACACATTGTGTAGCCCATACACTATACTGTACGGCTGAGACAACATTTACACAGCAAAATACAGCACAAAGTGCCTATCGTATAATACAGTGCTGTGTGTTCACATTCCATACTCAAAACAACAACAAACACGTTCAGTACACATACAAACTGACGCACAAATACTTGTGCAACGATAGCTTCTGTCATCGCAGTGGCCCCTGTCACAGTGTTATCAAAAATAATAATACTCTGCACTTGACTATCGGGTTTTGGTTTTAATCAAATGTGATTTACCTTGTGGGCTATTTACGATTGACTCGTGAAACGCGAAAGTTTAATCGGGAATTGTATCTGTCACGATTTCTATCCTATTTCAAAACGTAATTACGGAATCCAAATATTGTGTCAAAGTGAAAATATTCGATTCGTTTGGTTGATTTTCAATTAATTGATAGTTCAAAGTCCATCAGAAGAAGTGATTCAGAATGGCAACCGTATCGGCTAATACGTGGAATCGGGGCATATTCTTGGCGCTAAGAAATTTAGTGCATCTTATAGCTGCCGTACACTTTTGGTTTGGCATCTTGTTTGATTTCAAATACGTGTATCCGCCAGAAGATCATCCCGCGTACAAACCACTCACAAGTTTTGGTGGAAAATTTCGCTATTTAACCATTCTCGGAGCGGTGTGTATCTGTGACAAATTGCACAAAAACCCTTAAAATGGAGTTGAAAAAAAAATCGATTTTATCTAATTTAATTTTCTGTTTCATTCATAGATATTCCAAGCGTTCTACTTTACACTATGTGTGGTGAATGATTTTATTGGTACAAATGAACATCATCCAAAGCGACCATCGAAACTACGCACGTTTAAGGATTACATCTTTGCAACTTTCGCATTTCCACTGGCAATGAATGTGGCCATTTCCTTTTGGTCCATCTATGCCATCGATCGTGAATTGATCCTACCCAAATCGTTTGAATCATTCTTCCCACAGTAAGTTATCATTTTGAATTCAAGTAACTTAGACTTACACCACATTGACATTTCATTTTGAAACGAGAGAAAAAAAAAATCGATATTAACCCATCAAATTTTCCCTTTATTTCCAGTTGGTTGAATCATGTGATGCACACAAATATTGTGATTTTCATTTTGCTGGAGCTATTTACGAGCTATCGTCAATATCCGAAGCGCAAGACTGGCTTCACTGGATTGCTCATTTTCAACATTTTGTACGTGATTTGGATTCATATCATCAAGTACAAGTCGGACAGATGGGTCTATCCAATTTTAGAGGTGCTTAGCTTGCCGCAACGCATTGGCTTCATCGTGTTCATTGGCGTGTTTGGAATCAGTTTTTATTTCGTCGGTGAATATCTGAACAACAAGATTTGGGCCAACGAACTCAAACTCACCAAATCAAGTGGCAAAAAGCACAAGTAATTTAATCCAGATTCAATGTGAATGTAAAAGAAGAGGAAAAAAAACCAACAATCGCCAAATTACTATTTGCAATTGTCACAAATTCACAAAAGCAATTTGAACAAATTTTTATTGTGCAATAACACTACTTAATTCCAATTTCCATAGTAATTCGTAGATATTTGTTGTCAGTTATGTGTGTATTCATATTAGTATATATTTATGAACAATTGTCGGGTTTTTAGTCCAATTTATGAACAAATCAAATTAATTAGAACAATTATTGGCTGTTAGGAGCTAAATTTGTAAATGTTGTGGAATTTATCAATGTTTTAATGATCAAAATCTTTGCTCAATTTCATTAGGTGTTTTAAAAAAATAGCAGAAAGAAGATTGTAGAAAAGTTCCGTTTTCTCTAAATGACATGTTACGTAGCTCTGAATTTCTTTATGAGTTATAAACTCTCTCAGTAAAAGTTACCAAACACAGGAAAATAAAAATAAAAAGAAATTGCGGTTTTATTTGGAAGTCAAACGTGTTTTCATCTTGTTTTGAGGTAAAAATTTTGTTTTTTTTTCAAGAAATGAAACGCTTCACGTTTCCACTCAGTTCCAGTTTGATAGCAGTGGCGGCAGCACTGGTTCTCGGTTTGTCAGCACAGTTGCTGAATTGGCTGTGACATTCACTCATAAACAAAGGCTTTGACAGATGAAAAACATTTCGAACGTAGTATAAAGTGAGTTTGCACAAAGAATCGAAGAGATTGCACACATCGGTGCTTTTATCTAATTGAATTAATTTGACGGAAGAAATTCACAACTTCGACGTAAAAATCACAAGGTAATTACAAAATAAAAAATTGAATAAATCAATTCGATGACTGACATTGAATGACAAATACTGAAAATCGCCCATTTTTCATTCGGCAGCTATCAGCGCGAACCGAAGCGACGATGAACCGATCAGCAGAAGATGAATGGGTCAAGTGTCCGTACAACGAGGCACACGTTTTGCCATACCACCGTATGCCGTATCATTTGGTGAAATGCAAGCCCAAATACAATGGTCCACCGCTCGATACGTGCCCGTTCAACGCCACGCATCTCGTACCGAAGGGTACACTGGAAGAGCACTTCAAAACATGCGTCGCATTTTTCCATGCCAATCGCGAACGATTCGAACGCAATGAGCGCGTCAGCCAACAAAACCATTGATATTAGTTTCTAGAGATAATTTATGCCAGAGGTGCAATTATTTATAGCAAATTGATCAAAATGATTTGATTTAAGGCTAGAGATTTAAGTCTCATCGAAAATAAGTAAATAAAAATATTTTCATTTTTTTGTACAATCAAATCATGACCGTGTTTTTTATTGAGATATTTCTTGTTTTGTTCTGTCCAATTTAGTTATTCCAGCATTTTTCTATGAAGAATTCATTTTTCCAGGTTTTGCCTTTTTCTCCACCAAAAACCAAATGTTTGATTTCAAACAAATCATTTTTTCTCAATTCACAACAAAACCGCTATAAATAGCTATCTCCAAAGTAAGTATATGAAATGAAAACAAAAACAACCGCAAAACGAGAAAAAACCGAATGTCAATTCAGCATGCGTGAATTCCACCACTGTTAGCAATGTCTGATTTCGCGCGCTCGTTGTTGGTACCAAAATCCATCGTTTCAATTGTTCCACGTTGTGTGCGCCATGTTTCATACACATTGCTGCTGTGTGCATGTGTGCAAGTAAGTGTATGTGACACTGTCAGTGAGTGGTGGAATAGGGTCTGAGGCAGAAGCCAAATTCATTCCTTCAAGTATTAGCCACGGAGAAGCTGGTCTGCAATTAAAGAAAAACGAGTGCAAAAACTAAACAATTTAAAAATACATAAACATACAAATCATAACTGCCCAAAGGCATAAAAAAAGTTGAAAAATTCCCACTTGTTTTTTGAAAAATCACTGTTCCGTGCCACCAGGAAAAAAAATGGATGATTTGGGTGAGTAAAAGAATTTTTATGTTGTTTTTTTTTCTCTTTCTCTATCTGCATCTTTATGATATAACTCGCTACGGTTTTTTTTCATCTTGCTTTTGAATTGTAACAAATAAATCTCATCCGCATAATTTATTAAGATCCTTTGTTTAAATTAAATACCGCTTCAGTTTGTGTTCATTTATGTGATAACTTCTCCAAAGTGACACACTCACACACACGGAACAAGTATAGATATGTATAGTCGGTTTTTTTTTATCTCGATTATTTTTTTCTGCGCTGTTTTGCGTGTATATCATGTGCATACAGCATATAAGGAAAAAAAATGAATTAAAACGCATTTAGATTTGTTTTTTTTTGTAAGTCGCAAAGATTTAATGATTCATTGGGCAGAAACAATTCTGACTGATTTTTCTTGACCAATTGAATATTGCGCACAGTAAGTTCAGCTGGAATCGTCTTGTGGTTAATCGAAATGTTATTTGTTTGACAAAAAAGAAATGTCCAGACCAAAACCCCTTTTTTAATCCCGTTCAACACACGATGCATTTGAACGGAATTCGTCTCTTTTTCGATAGTGTTTTTTTCTCTTTAGTTTTTTTTTTCGTCGAAGTTGTGAAATTCATTTTAAAAATTTGCATTTTGTACATAGGCTTGTTTTTTATGTTCTCAGTGTTCATGTATGAGATATGAATGTATGGTGTCATCGCATTGAATAATTGCGTATCACACACCGAATTTCAATGAACCTATTATAATTTATGGTTTATGGGAGATCTAATTGATTTAGTAAATTAAAATGAAAAACCAATTCGGCAAAATGAAAAAAAAAAACGTCAATCCCAACGCGATTCGATTGTGTTCCGAGCAATAAAATGGCAGATTACGCTATTTAGCACGTCTCTGTGTATTTTTTTTTATGTTGTACATACACGCTGTAACAACAAAAGACAGTAAGAAAAAAATACGTATATATACAAGCCTCTGTACTAAACGTACACAGAAAAATGCTAAGAAGAGAGAAAAAACGCCCGAAGAATAGAAAGAAAAGGGGGAAGAAAGAAAAAAACGAAGAAGAAAAAACATGCAAAGTCATAGAGTAGGCTCGAAATGTGATAAACAGGTACAGCTATTGCTCTGTTGATTTGCGTTTATTGGACGGCTTGCACACTCAAACTCCGCACATACACATATCCATACAAACATACATAAATTCACTACATTAAGACATCTCACACAAATGTACAAAGCATTGTTATTGCTTTAAAAAGCAATGCCATTCCTTGCACAATGCGTCCTTACTTCCTTTTGTTTCAAATGAATATTTTTCTCTCCCTCTCTCATCTGTACACATACACGCACTCTGTTCCCCGCTCCTTGCACTGCTGGAGCACACTGAGAAAATAAGTTACAGTGATATATGAATCGGGTATTATCTTTGACAATGTTTGCACAATTTGATCCATCTCAAATTGCCAAATAAGGAGTTGTTTGTGCTCGGTTCAAATTTCTCTACCTGAGCGCTGAGCACGTCTCATTCGCGCCGCATAAGCCACTAGAAATCGTCCACATTATAAAAAATTTGAATTTTAATTAAATTTATTGTTTGAGACAATGGTGGCGGTGGCGGTGGCGGTCATTCAAATCACACATTTCCGTGCGTCTTTGTTGTGTGGCATACAAAGTTTTGGGCATTCTAAAAATATCCTTACATGTATGAACATGATTTCGCAACAGTATGGCTATATTGCTAATTCCACCAATGAACCATTTTTCCAGTTTTTTTTGTTCATCATTCTCGTTGTTGTTGTCGTTCTCATTTGGCCGACTTTCCTGTACACACATTTCAAATAAAAGCAAACCAATTCTCTGTGCTGCGATCACTGTCTTTGTGTTTGCGTTATCTTCGATTCCCTTTTCTCTTCTGCTTCAAGGCCAGAAAGAAAACAATTATGTACGTTGATGAGAGACAACGCGCGATCGCACTGATGACTCACACGCAACAGGCGAACACATATTTCCAATGCACGGATACCAGAGATGAACATAAAGTAATGGAAGAAAAGAGATTCTTTTTTGCATCTCTGGAGGTTTTCTTCGTTTCGTTTCGTTCCGTCGTCGTTTTTGTTTTTAAGTGCCTGTATGCGTAGCGAATTTTCTGTTGTTATTTCGCTTCTCACTTATGTACGAGCTTTTCAGTCTTGTCGTTTTGTTATATACACACACATGCTTTACCGGCCGAATTATCGGCATAAATAACGAAAACGGGAATTAGACACAATGCATTGTCTCTGTGTATACCAATATACACAAGAAAAAAAAACAACAATCGTTCGCAGTCACTTATGTACTACATGACGTGACGCTGTAAACAAAAACACATGCTTTTCGGATTTATTTACTTATTCGTCATCGTCTGCATTTTCATTTATTCCACATTCATATTTTCATGTTTTCGTTCGGTTTCTATGCGAATTTTACGATTGTTGAACTATTTTTGACATTGTGACCGTGCAGAAGGGCATTTTATCGGCAAAATATATTTATTGCCAATTTCAATCAGTCCAGCAAATTTGACAGACGAAAATAAACAGCTTAATTTATGGCCTCAGTTTTTTTCTCGTACTCGGTCCTCACACCGTGCGTGCAACAGTTCATTTCAGTTGAAAAGAAGAAAAAAATGGCAAACTGAAAATAAAAAATTGAAGGAAAAAAACAACAACAACAACAACAACACACAGTTGAAATACGAATGCGGCAAATCAAAGATTCAAATAATCGATAACGACTGTCTCTGGTTGTTTTATTTTAGCGAAAAAATAGAGACATTGTTGCTTCAGACTTCATTCTCTCCTTCGTCCATCACAATGTTGTTTTTAATAAATATTTTCGGTATCGTAGCTTATAATTTCACCATTGCGAAATCGAAGGAACCACAGTTTATCGCAGACGTGAGATGAAATGTAAACAATTTTTTTTTTATGGAAAATGTAAATAACATTCATCATAAAGGGTGACATTGAAGTTCGAAGAATATTTGATTCCAAAGGAAATGTCATTCGATGTGTTGAAAAGATTCAAACCAGAAATAAGAGTGTTTATATGGCCTTTGATAGGTCTATTTAGTCTCGAGAAAATGCATCTTCTGAGATATAACACGGCATAAACAAGGCTTTTGTTCGTTGACATGTGTTATTCGCAGATGACATAATCGTTTACAGTTATTCACACGGTCAATGCGACTCTTGCATCAGTTGTCAGTGAATATAAACGGCGCTAAAACAAATTGCGTACATGAGTTTTATGATTAAATTCAATCCAAATATCCATTCTATTATCCCATACTGACGCAATTGACAATACGTAATTTGTTGTTTTTTTTCTTCTTCGTGGCGTCGTCCATTGACACACAATTCGTATAGAATTGTTCACTCAATTACACCGGATCCGCACATTTATTTATAACGCTGCGAATAAATACGAATGTGAATAAGCCGGACCGGTGAGTAAATAAATGACGACTTTGTATGCAATGGA